AACCGTTGCTGTCAGCAATCAACGGCTAGTCGCCTACAATGGCCTGCTCGTACGTGGATATATATATAGATCGTCCCTCCGTCCTCCCCAAGAAACAAAAAATGATCTTACTACGTGACCGGTTGTCGGCTGTGCGCGGATGGGAGCACGTATGCACGTACAGAGGTGCGTCTGCATGAACGGTCTCTGCATCCAGTATGCACTGGATTTTTGTAGCCTCCACTGTAGTCAGTAGTGTCATCCGTTTTCCAGTGACAAAATAGCAGCACTGGTCGTTGGCTTATTGGAGTTGAACCTATAGTGGTATATGAACATAAGAGCCAAACCTTTTAGCCTTAAACATGTACCTCACTAATCATAAATACCAAAATATGTAGTATAAGCTTGCAGCTAGAGTTGAGTTTTGAGTTACTTGCTTTGCAAAAGTACGTTGAGGTGTAGTGAATGAACCACCATAAAGATAAATAAGAAATGACAATTGCATGAAAATGATTGTTCATTTGTTTATAGGGAGAATTATTTATTTGGCACTGAAACAAATCAGTATTTCGTATTTGGCACTCGAAAATTTGAACTTTCTTATCTGGCATAAAGTTGAAATTTCCTTTCGTAAATGGCACTGCCGTCCATTTAGGACAGTAACGGTGTCAAGTGACCGGTAAAAAGACATAAATACCCTTGTTTTGCAGCAGAAATCCACGGTGCCAAATAGGGAAGTTCAAGTATTTTCGTATGGACGATATTGCCGGAGCTCTTGCGCAGCCCCGTGCCATCGCCCTGGTGACCCGACGCATAGACCCCGTACCAACGTTCCCGCATCGCCGCCCTACCGACTGAAGGAGGCAGGACGATGGCGTGTCGCTGCCCCCACGGGAGCGCCTAGCTCGCTTTGCCGCAACCTCGCTAGTGCCGCGCGCAGGTCATCGCGGTCTCCGCGTGACGCTCGCCGTTGTCCACGCGAGGTCTGTCGGCACCACAGCGCCTCACCATGCACCAACGCCGCGTGTGATGCCAATTAGCGCGTGAACCACCAAGTGAGTGAATCGCCACAACGAGGACTACCTTGCCGACAAGCAAGTGAACCTCGGTAAAAAATCATTGCGTCATCATTTGATTCAGAGGTGATTGGTCTTCATTGTTATTCATTCTTGTGATTGATTGGCTCCTTCCTCGACACGGCGGTATAACCATCTTGCTCACTCTCTTTATATTACCGCAAACTAGTTGTCAAGCTCTTTAGTGTAGCTAGTTGTGAGAGCTTGTTAGTTTGGTTAGTGTGGCTCTTTAGTTAGCATTTGATAGCACACTAACTTAGTATAGTGACATAGCCATTGTGTGGTTAGAAACTATAGAAACTAGGATTGTGGTATGTGGCTTGCATTTTTTATAGGCTAGTGTAACACTTGCTTCGTCTCATAATTGTCTAATTGGTTTGCTAAGTGTTGTTGTATAAATTTTTAATAGGCTATTCACCTCCCTCTAGCCATTAGGACCTTTCAGCTGGGCACTGGGAGGCTGTCCTCTGCTGTCGTTAACTACATCAAGAAGCTTTTACCAGCGCTAAGGTGGGATGACTGGACATTTGAGGTGGGACCTAAGAAAGATGCGCTCACAACAGGTGACGAAAGAGTCTTGATTTTTGGAAAAAGCTCTGGAATCAGTCATGCAAGATCCGTCGTAGCAGCCGTAGCTCTTGTTTTGATCCTAGTTGTAGTTAAGTGGGCACCGGCGAGGTCCTAATCCTCTAATTGTAATATAGTGTTCGACTTTTGTTTTTCCCGTGTGATGAAATGTTAACAGTAGATTAGCATCATCATCAGAATATCAGATGCAGGCTTCAATCGTTAATATACATATTACATAGGCAATAGAGTTTTCATTTCTCTTTTTTCTGTCTGCTCCGACGCTCCGCGTTGCCACATTTCATTAACTGATCAAGATTACAGTGGTCTAGATCAAGTAAAAAAAAAGAATGATTACATTGAGACCTTACATACTATTGCATTCAATATGAAAAAATAGGGATGCAAGTGGGTTTTCCATAAACCCCAAAAATATTAAATTTATTTTTGGTTCACAGATAAACCCACTTGCATCTCTATTAAAGACAGTACTTCACCTATACACTACGTGACCAAATTTATTTGAGATGTTTTGTTTTGTCTTTACCACGACAAAACACATTCTTGGTAGGACCAGACAAAGTCCCTCACAAAGGAAGCCCGACCAGCACTTCTTGGCAAGAACAATCCACAATCCACATTCTATTTCAGAAGACAACCTTTTTTATTTACATAAACAGTCAAAAAGTATTTAACGATCAATGCAAAAAAGGAAAAACGTGTCACCGTGGGGTATGACTTATGAGGAGTATACGAGGCAAGGAGCAGATTGATACGATTCCATTTATATATGTCAGATTGATACGATTCCATTCTATATAATAACTAACTAAGTTTACTTAATAACCTATTAATGCACAACATTCATCGCTCGTGCTGGAGATAAAATGGAGATATATTCTTCACAAATGATTTGGTGGAAGTCTGAAATTAGAATTGCCACTTGTACTGCATGTGTCCTTGAACCTGTAACCTAATTTATTATTTATGAATGCGATGTTTTGCAAATAACATACCAAATACTTGTTCGTTAAGTACTATAGTATAGTATATGATGAAAGATTTAATACAATTTTTTTTAAAATAAATTAGCTACCTTATTGATAGCCCTGGACAGGCAAATGCGGCCAGCTCATGCCGGGAGAGTCCAGACGCCTTGAGGTGTTGTATTGTATCCAATGCTGGCAGCCGCGTCCGATACGCGTATATATCAGAGGCGATACGTTCTCAGATACACATCCACGACCTCTGGCTGTATACGACTACCAGTACCAGGGATGCACCACAACGCAGGTCCTCTCCTGATACAGTGTGTGTGTATATATATATATATATATATATATATATATATATATATATATATATATATATATATATATATATATATATATATATATATATATATATATATATATATATATATATATATATATATATATCAATTTCTATAGCTCGGCGCCGTAGTAACTGGCGTCGAGCTCGGCGCCGTACGTCCACGCCACGCAAGCAGCCACGTCAACGACGCGCAAAAAATGACCCTGGATCTCGGCGCCAAAGCAATTGAGGCCAGGGTCTATTTTTTGATAGGATACTGCCAGGGGCGTATTTGTGAAAATCTTTCAAAAAAAGAGCTGAAAAACAAAAAATTTGAATGGTAGGGGGATGTCAGCGGGTTAAGTATGGAGTGAGTAAGAACAATTCGAAAAGCCCCTCTATATCTTTCCTTATTAATAGTGTAGTAGAGAATTTGGCAAACCCAGAGCAACTAAGATATAGAAAAGTTATTGGAGGGTGAAAAAAATATAGAGAACAATTTTGATTGAAATGACCCTTGAAATGATGATTTAGAGAGTGAATTTAAGAAGAATTGTTTGGAGATGCTCTAAATATGTGTTCTTGGGGAGTTGCCTGACAGTGAACAAAATTCTGCACCTGCAGTTGAAATTTGTAATACATCCATATTATCATATAGAATAACACAATACCCATGGGTAGAAATGTAGAATTATATTGGCATGCACCCCCCCTAGTCAGCATTGGGTAGGAAAAAAAAGATAGTAATAGTCTAATAATTCTATAACAATATAATTTCTTGGTTATTATCTTCTTGCGTACTCATCGTGGGATTAGTCAATGCAAGAGCAGGTGGCTGTTGAGATGGCGCCGGTCTAAATGCTCCTGCACTGGTTGCCTTCGCCGCCCCGCGCACGCGCCTCATCAGCCGGACGGCGACATGCATGTGCAATGTGCTGCCCTGCTTCGCACGGAAACGGACCTTGGGACGTTGGTTGGGTGGAACACTTGCTAGGTTCCTTAGGAGGTAAGGATAGTGGCATGTTCGCTTGTGTTATGAGCCGTATTATTTTAGTGAACGAATAACGTTTTTCTCTCACAACAAATCAGCGAACAGTACTTTCAGCCATGGCTTTTCAGCAAAGCGAACAGGGCCAATGCCTTGGCCATGAGCCCGTGACCGTGATGCGAATCAAGAAAGTCGGAGAAGGCGCGAGGGAGGAGAGAGGAGACGAACAAGGGCGACGACGTGCCAACTTGCCGAGCGGGCTCGCAATCTATCGTTCTCGTTCACGTTCACGTTCACGTTCCCGCGAGGCTGTTCCGTTGGTTCGTGCCGACCAGCGTGCCAGATCGTCCAGGCAAGCTCGGCGCGGCACTTGGAAACTTGGAATGGGAGGTCACACTGCCGCGGCTAGGGCTTTGCCTTTGCATGCTGCCATCGCCAATTGATATTGCCAACTGAACCGGCCGAACTTTTCATGCCGCCTGCTTGAACGTGAAATTTACCTTTTCTAGAGCGCACCTTAAAAGATCATACAGTAACTTTTTTCCGTCTGAGCTCGGGTGAAAATACTCCTTTATTTATTTATATCCAGAAAGTATAACTCATGTTTTAGAATTTTCTAAATCAGACCATTTTTTGCTTAATATAATCTATACTAAAAAAAAGTACTAGTTTTTTTATGATAATAATAAATGAGCATTATTAAAGCATCACGAATTACGCATAGGCTTCGGACCACACACCCGTGGGCTGGCTTTCTTTAACAGAGAAGATAGTGCAGATCAAGCGGACACAACTAATGCCTCTAAACATTGGTTTTGCCTGTCTCTGCTAACTTGTGCTGTAGTGGTAGTATAGTAACAAAATACGGTGGTTTCCTTCAAACAAAAATAATATACGGAAGAAGAGAAATGCTTAACTCGGCATAAGAAATGTTTTGTTCTCAAAGTCTTGATAAAAGGTCAAGTGAAAATCACGTACATATATACCACATAGGAGTATAGGACTAGGAGTAAAAAACAACTCATTATACTTTATTAGGCACATGCAGATGCAGACACACCACCGAACGACACACACTACGTACTCTCGACGGAGCTGACGGCATGCAGACACATCATCACATACCGGCACATCATACATACATTCGCCCGCGGGCTGCATCTGCATGCACATGCTGCTTCTGGGAGCAAGTACAGAGCACAGAGCAGCACGCAGGGAGATCGAACAGCAGCAGCTCGATCAGCCGAAGAAGTGGTGCTTCTTCTTCCCTCGCCGCGGCCGGACTCCGCCTCCTCCTCGGCGTCCTCCGCCGCGTCCTTGGCCTCCTTCTTGTCGTGGTGCTCGTGGAACGCGAAGCCGCCGCTGCCCAGGGCCGCCACCGCCGCCACGCCCTCCTCGATCTTGTGCCGCTGCGCGTGCTCCGGGTCCTTCTTCGCCTCGTGCCTCTCGTACTGCAACCACGCAACGCATGCAAGGACATGGACACAAGTTGTCAATATGAACGTGACAGCAGCCACAAGCACAAGCATGGCGTCACTTAATTCGTGTGTGTAAGGAAATGCATGGACGTTAGTTAGTTACCAGGGCGAAGGCGCCGGCGGCGAGGGCGCCCATCTCGCCGAGGTGCTCCTTGTGCTTGTGCTCTTTCTCCTCCTTCCTGTACTTCTCCGAGTCGTCCGGGGAGGAACCGTACTCGCCGTCGTCCTCGCCACCAGACTTGCTGTTGTACCCGCCGCCACCGCCGGTGTAGGCGTCGTCGCCAGAGGACTTGCTGTTGTACCCGCCGCCGGTGCCACGGCGGCCGTATTCGTCGTCGTTGGTGCCCGATTCGTTGTACCCACCGTCGTAGTCGTCCTTGCCGGACTTGTTGTACCCACCGCCGCCGGTGCCACGGCCGTACTCGTCGCCGCCGGACTTGTTGTAGCCACCTTCGCCACGGCCGTAGTCATCAGTTCTGGACTTGCTGTTGTAGCCGCTGTCGTAGTCGTCGCCGGCGCCGGACCTGCCGTAGCCGCTGCGGCCGTACTCGTCAGCCATCGTTGACGCTTTCTTAATTAGCTAATCACGTTCAGGTGTTTCGGTACAGAAGAATAGTAGTAGAGCTTGCTTGCAGTTGCACTTGCACTATGTTCCCAACAACACAGCAATGGAAAAGTATTTATAGAAGCGCTGGGAGAGACATCTCTGGTAACTCATGGCTAATATGCTGGACACGTCCTAACAATGTCTGGCAGGTAGTTGTTAATTCTAGTTGATTTCCCTTAATCTCGAAATGGAGATATTTTCTGCCGACAGAAACTAGTTGGCTAGTTGCTTGGTTGTCGACATCATCTGGTTGGGCTTGTTGGGCCATGGATTAAATAATGGATGAGGGTTTATTCCCTAAAATCCGAATCTTTTTTTTCTTGAATATGCAACTAGTTGCATATCATTGCATTAAGGAAAGTGAACAGATAACTTTCAAAAAAAAGGAAAGTGAACAGATTATAATTTTTAATAATCAAACAAGAACCACTCACAGTTTGCTCTGACATTTTCGCTCAGAAAAAGTGAAATAACTAGATGAAATTCTATAAGTGGAGATGGATATGCTTGTTTTAAAAACATCATCACAATGCTGGAGCAGAGGCTGGATTAATAAGTCATCGCGGTTCGTTATCGGAATGTTACTCATTTGTGCATGCAATAATGCAGAGCATGCCATGTATATATAGGCTAGCTGTGTGTTGTTATACTACCATTAGTATAACTTGGCTGAACCTGTTGCTTAGAATCACAGTTCACAGTGTGTGTGTGTGTGGCAGCATCTAGGAGTTCCTCCACTCAGAAAGGAGTTTCAAGATGTCAGCCTATTTGGTTGCATGACAAGATTAACCACAATTTTGTATAACATCTCAGGCATGTTTTAGTAAGTGTTTGGTTGTAGCCACACTAGTTTTTCTAAACTATTTCCCATATATAGATCCCATATGCCAACTAGAGTTTGCGGCAAGATTTCCTTAGTTATGATTAAGTTGTAGTGTCGGTTTTTTTCTAAAAAGGAATTCAGGTGTTGGTTTTTCTTGGCAAACTTTGATAATATTGTGTAGCAAATTAAACCAAACATGCATGTGACAACTTGAAACTTAACAATGAGGAGTGGACTATAGAAAAATATATCAACATCTTACTAGAGAAACAGGGTCTTTCACCACAGGATCGTTGATCTAATTACACGAACACTAAACAATCTAATATAGATTAAACGACTAACCGTGGTCATTAAGTGGATAGCCCACCATCCGTGAAGTAGATCATGGTGTGTTGACGAGATCCGTTAGTGGCTTCGACGAGGAAGAAGGGTGGCGGCCTTCAGGTTGATCCGGCACTTCTTAGGATCGGTGTCTTAGGCGATAGGTGGACACATAGTCGTGCTCGAGTTGGCGTGTTTGGCACAGCTCACAACAGCTTATTTGCTAAACACTTATTTCCAAAACAGCTTCACCCATGAAGTTGTTTTTCTCCTCCTCTCACAAACACATGAGTTGGGATGAAGCTGAAAAAAGTAGCTTATCCTAGCCCTCTCCCTCATTTCTCTCTCCCATCCATGTATGAAGTTGTTGGTGAAGCTATTTTGCCAAATAGTTTTTTCAAAATAGCTCAGCTTCACCTAGAAAGTTACTCATGAAGCTGTCTTAAAAAAAACAGCTTTACTAATGAAGTTGAGCTGTGCCAAACAGGCCATAATTGTGGTTCATTACATGATTATTACAAACTTTTTTTGTGGACACAAAACCCACTCGTTGTGGATACAAACATGCCATGTGTTGCACAAATGTTACACTAGGGAGAGATGCATGCTAGCTACACTACTAAAAAACAGACCTTTCACCCACTCCGATTTTAGCCTTTAGTTTCGATATTTTTTGTGTTCGGGACTAAAGGACTTTTAGTCCCGGTTCATAATACCAACTGGGACTAAAAGTCATCTTTAGTCCCGGTTGGTATCACTAACCCAGAGTAAAAGTTCACCAACTTTTAGTCCTGGTTGGTAACACCAACCGGGACTAAAGGGTGACCTTTTAGTGCCGGTTGGTGTCTTCAACCGGGACTAAAGGTCTTTTACCCGGGACTAAAGGTCTCCCACGAGTCTATTCAAAAGGAGAGCGCACATGACTCTGTCACAAGTGGTGTGCAGTTGAGTTGGTAATGTACCTACGCGCGAGGAGAGAGGTGTTGGGTTCGAATCCTACGTAGAGCAAGCGAGGCCTCGAGGATTTCCTTTATTTTTTTCTTCCATGGGTGACCTTTAGTCCCGGTTCCCAGACCCGGGACTAAAGGTGTGGACCTTTAGTCCCGAGAATTTAGTCCCGGTTGGAAAAACCGGAACTAAAGGGCCTTCCCAACCGGGACTAAAACCCGTTTCTCTAGTAGTGCTACAGTTGCCGACCCAAACTGCCGCGTACAAACCACGTGGCACGCTGTGACAGCTAGCTACAGTTGGCATCATCCATGGCTCAGTACAGTTGTGCAGTAGCATGTGGTCTTCATCAAGTGGCGCTTCATCTTCATCAGACGGTTGCTTTCAGCAATCAACGGCTACCACGGCCGCGCCACGTGCGTTTGATCAGCGTACTCGTGGTCGTGGATATATATGTGGATCGTCGATCGACCAAAAAAAAACAAGAAGAAGAAGATCTTGCTACACGTGACGGGTTGTCGGCAATGCGAAGATGCATGGGAGCACGAGTGCACGACAGCACGTACACATGTATGATGTATGCGCACGTACAAGTAAGTACAGCGAGCGAAATAAAGGGCTCCATCGTCGATCGCGCACGACGACAAAAGGCCGGCGGTTCGTCGGTACCGCGAGACGGCCCGTCGCTCGCCGTCCAGACGGGAACGTCCGTCCGCGCATGCTCGGATTCATGCTGACCAACTTGCTCCATTGATGGATCAAGCCGGCCGACGGCCATCGATTCTCTCTTGGCACGCGGAGGAGGATCCACCGGTGGGACAGACGGGGCTCAAGCTATCCATGAGGAGTGGGTTACAGAAAATATATCAACATCTATCTAAAGTAATCATGGTGGATCCATCGGTGGGACGGATGGGGCTCAAGCGCCCTCCTCCCTCCCATGATAATAGAGCCTTTTTAACACCCCTCGCACTTTTATAGACATGATAGAGTCCCTCATAATTTTTAATAGACATGAAAGTGAGGAAGGAGAGACTTTAGAGGTTGAAGAGATGACTTGAGCCTCCACTTCCATGATTTTTAATTTTCTGATCTGCAACTAACAAGCAATGCACTATTAAAATACATTTTGTGGTGGTTTTAATGAGGGAGAGCAAGTTTCGAAACTCGAAACAAAAATATATAGAGTTGTATCCATTTCAGAACACAGAGCAAATTACATGTTTATTGTTAAGTGTCACTACTACAGAAATGAGATCTAGTCCCGGTTGGGAACTAGCTCTACTCCCGGTTTTCCAATCGGGACTAGCAATCCGGAACTAAATGTGTTGTTCTTTAGTCCCGATTTGCCACAACCGGGACTAAAGATCCTCTCAGCTTTAAAAAAAATAATGCCTCCCACCGCTGCGTCTCGTGAGATTCGAACCCAAGACCTCATGCACTGCCTCGCGCGTAGCTTACCACCCCACCTACACAACACATCTAACAATGGATGGGATGCTTTCCTTTTGAACTAACCCATCGGGGGACCTTTTAGTCCGGGTTGGTGTTACCAACCGGGACTAAAGGGTATACCTTTAGTTTAGGTTGGTATTACCAACCAGGACTAAAGGTTGGAGGACTTTTAGTCCCGGTTGGTGTCTCCAACCGGGAGTAAAGGTCCACCTTTAGTCCCGGTTGGTGTCTCCAACCGGGAGTAAAGGTCCCCTGCCACTGTGCCGAGCGCAGTAGCCGTTGGGCAGGGACCTTTAGTCCCGGTTGGGCCTCTCTAGTCCCGGGGGCAAAATATGCCGAGGCTAAAGCCAAATTGGGACATCGTTCTAAAGTCTGTTCTCTAGTAGTGTGTGCCGGCGTAAAATACAGGGTGGTGTCGGAGTAAAATACAGACCGGTGTTGTGATATGTTTCAGAATATATACAGAGGAAAATGTGAAAGAAGAATATGGCTGCGCTTACAGTCGCAGGATCTTTTTTTCCGAAAATCCAAGCTAGAATAAGGGTCTGTTTGGGACAGCTCCACCAACTCTAGATCCACCAAATTCATATCCAGATTTTAAAAAAAAGTTTGCCAAACAACTCCAGCTCCACTAGTGGATCTGCTCCCCAAAATTGGTGGATCTTCTGGAGAGGTGCTCCACCAGATCAAACTTTGGTGGAGTTAAGAGAAATCCACTTATTACATAGAAATAACAATTCGATTCATTGTGTTCCTGTCTTTCGCGTCGTGAGCGCCTTCTCCTCCTGCATCCCACGCCTGGCCGTCGCGAGCCCCGCCCCGACCGCCAGAGCATTGCCCGCAACCGTCACGCCTGCTAGAGCACCCCGCGACCTTCGTGCTCACCGAAGCACCGTCCGCGACCGTCGTGCTCGCCGGAGCCCCGCCCACGAGACCGCGCTTGCTTGAGGCTGCCGGAGCCGTGCTTGGCCGTCGCGAGGCCGCCGGAGACACACCTGGCCGTCGCGGGGCCGCCGGAGCAGCGCCTGCTGGAGCCTGGCCGTCAGAGGAGAAACGCCATCACGAGCGCACCTTCCCCTCTTGCGGCGAGCCTGCCCGCACCCGCCAGTGCTGTGGCTGCGCCCGGCCGTGGCCTCGCCGCGAGCCATGGCCGGCCGCGCACCAGGGCCGGCCATGAGATCCCCAGGCCGTCGCGCAGGAGCTGTGAGCTCTGGCCGGCCACGCCCGCCCGCCCCTCTTCGCGATGTTTTTTCCTTGCGCCGGTGCTCGCTGGGAGGAACAAAGACCGTGACTTTTTCCCGCTGACGCGTGGGCCTAAGTTGTCAGTGTGACAGAGATAGAGGCGGAGCTATATCAAACACCTCTGGCTCCACCATGAATCTAGGTGAATCCCATATCCAAT